CAAGTCTCCTTTTCTATTTGAAAAATAAAGTTGGTCTCACTCGACGACAAGTGGTGCAACTTTATTGCCTTTCTTGAATACTTGCATTTTGTCCGACTTCAATAACTTATCCCTTCTGAAAGAGGTACTATTTACGTTTGCACTGTATGTGTTATGATCAAAGTAATCGTAGGGAGTAGTTTTGAAATGTATCCAGTGGCATCATGTCTGAGGCCATCAGAATGTAGGGGAAAAAAATTGTGTGGTTTTGTTATGTTTGGTTTGGATAATTTTCAAATTGATATATTCGACTCTTCAGCCCAATACGGCGAGCCGTGGTCCCATTTCGGGGGGTGCGGACCTCTAAGTAGGCCAACTGTGTATCTCGTTTTGCTGGAATGCCATCTCCCATCGTTCAATCCATTTTGTGAGAAATTTTCCATGTATCTTCTGATAGTGCTATATAAAATGTCTGCAATGTAATACGTCTTTCAAAAAATTTGAAGCATCCGGATGATAAGCGGTTATCTACGAAATCAAAATAATTTATCTATTTGGCAATTTTCAACTAGGTACTATATGGCCCAGAAATATTGATTTTTTGGATTATGAATGAATTCATCTCCAAATAATTGTTTATTTTCTGTATGTGATAATACGAAAGTGCAACATTTTTTTTGAGTTCAGTTGAAATACATATTTTTCATTGAATAAGAATACACGTATTTTTTCACTTTCAAGAAAATTATAGTACATGAGATATACTGACTATATTGAGTGATTTAGCAAATATTTCAGGTATCAATAAATTCTAAATTTAATATTCCAAAACAAACAACTTCCAGAAGAAGGTCATGAAAACATACTTAATGAATCGATTCACAAAGAATCATAATATTTTTGCCATTCTTGAAATGACAACCTCACTTTGGATTACTAAGTTATTTTCATATTTGTTCATTTTGAGTTTCTAAAGATACAGAAATGAAATATTCTGTTTGAAAGGTTTTGAAAGTAATTAATACAGTTTATTGTATGATTTTTCACTTTAAACGGTTTCACAATAAACTTTATTAATCAGTTTTGATATGGATTTTCATCAAGTATCGGGCAGTTGTATTCATTTCATTAGTTCAGACTTCCATCGTCTTATATTATATAAAATGATTCGAAATCCCAGAAAGAATTAATAAATAAAAAATTAAAATGAATAGCTGGAAATAGCAATTATATTAGGCAAAAAAACCCTGAAATGAAACAACAGTGAAATAAAATACAAGTATTGGTGAAGAGGACCGATACTAAGTGGGAAACATCTGTATACCGAAATCCCACCCACACGTGACATCACCACCCTACCACATTCGATTTTTAATAATTAATTACGGGAAAACTACGGTACTCAGAGAGATGAAACAAAGTGCACTGTTTTTCAATTTTATCAAGTAAACTATAAACTAAAAATCATGAAACAAGCCCATTGATTGAGGACTATGCGTTTACAGTTTAATGAAAATATAGGATATCTGGTTCACTCATGTTATGCGGTTTCTTAACAAATATTTCAAGTATGAAATAACTTCTATCCAACTTTCCAAAATAAAAGAATGATTCTAGCGGTGAAACAGTTATCGAAGTGTTCGGAGTCTTGTTGAGTATGGTAAGTGAGGCAGAGCTGTGACGCTCAATTCGTTCAATTCGCTCAATTTTCGGGCGTTGTCGTGCCCTCTTGGGCAGTGCCAGCTGGACATCGGTGTCCAACCGCTGTCCTGAACGTCTGTCCTGATCGTTTTGGTTGCTCCACCAGATTCCTCAAATCCTTGTCCTGTATCAATGTAGGTTGACCACTTCGGGGCTCATATCTTCAAGGCTGAAATCTCCGGAATGAAATTTTGCAAACCTACGTCGAACTGTGTTCATTAACACATTGACACATTGCATATGCCTGGTTAATTTGTCAGGCTCTCTTGGTAGCGCTTAGTTTCAATTTGAATTCGTAGAGGAAAATTGTCCGAAAATAGGTTTACGACATCATAAAGTTCATCATCATAAAGAGGCAAAAAAATACTGATAACCCTCCACTAGTGATAATGAAGAAATGAAACTTTCTGTTCCTAACGTATTGGATTCATCAGTAGAAATACCAACTGAAATATACGCATTTTTATCAGTCGAAATAAAATATTGTGATATGAGATTAATTCATGTCTACAGTTTCACCAAATTTTTCAAACACCTTTCATCATCTCAAAACGATTTTATTTTAGACGACAGTCAGTCACAAATATGTAATATACTAGCGACCGCCCCGGCTCCACACAGGTGCAATGCTGATTCTGAATATACTACAGAACATGTTTTCTTCAGAGGTTACCCTTGAAAGAGAGACATATAATTGGCCGGGTACCGCCGCAACCGATATGTCCCTGCATTTCAAATATGTAATGTATTCGAAAATATTCATTTGAATTACATGCTGTGAGAGGCCATATTGATCACATTATGGACAGATGATATAAAGGATATATTAAAGGTAATTTATAATTATTCTGGTAATATCTTGAATATTTTGAAGCCTCTGTAAACCCTACATTTTATTCTATGGAAAAGAGGACATTAGCAGATCGAGATCTTCAGATGACGTAGTGCTGCAAGTTTCTCCGGGTTTTCCTGCAGCTGAAAAGGCAAATGCGCCACTTAAATCAATCAAGTCGCCCTGGAGCGACAATAAATTTTTGTTGTTGTTTCATAATTTGTATTACTTTCTTTTTTTATATTAACTATTCTGTTCTATCTGCAGGTGTCCCACGGAAACCTTCATAATGACCGATATTTTGAAAACACAATTTAAACCGGTTTGGTTGATAATCACCAGATTTCATTCATATCAAGAACACTTCAATCACCTTGAGACAATTTCTGCAATATAAAAACAACAACCATGAATCGAAAAAATAAGCAACATTGACTGCTTTACAGTTTCAATGTAAGTAATAATGAACGAATTTGTTTAAAAAATAGGCAATAGAATTTTAATTCAGTTTTTGAATGTATGCTATTTAGGTACTCACAATGCAAATTCACTATGATAACTAATTGATAATTATGTTCACCAGATGTGACTGGTAATGTTTACATGAAATTGAGAATGTAATTTCATGGGAAAAATTTGAAATGAAATGAACATAACTACGTGCACAATAATAGGGTCACAAAAGTCTATAAATCTTAAATTAGTGATACAATGAAGAGTAGAATGACACATTTGCTGACTGAAAATGTTGATAACAAAATACCTCAG